TCCAAGGCCTGCCCTTGGCCTGCTGCTTGGGATTCTGTAGAGTTTCATAGTTTCCAGAGCTGGTAGAATTAAGCCATAGGAGTACCTGAAATCTTCACTTACTCTCCTCCTGATTCCAGTAGCCCCAGCACCGGCTAAGCTGCCCTGCTTTTCCTTCCTTCAGATGAGATGCTCTCAGGAAATAGCAAGGATTTTCCAAAGCAATATAAAATACTTGTTCAAACCATGTCATAGAAGAACAGGGCAAAAGGCTAAGGTATGGAGGGCTGGCTCAACCGTCTTTTGGTCATCTGGTTATAGAAAGAGAACTTTGCACTTCTTACGTACTTTAGAAGGAGTAAACAGCATTACATGGTCTATGGTAAAGAAAACCAGCCCCGTATGAAGCCCATCTTGATAGCCTCACTCCCTCGGGTGGCTGTTCAGAAGGTCCTTGCCTGGCCAGCTTTTTACGTGATGTCTTACATGACCTCCCACACCCAGTTATTTATTTTTTTAAGGATTTTATTTATTTATTTGACAGACAGAGATCACAAGTGGGTGGAGAGGCAGGCAGAGAGAGAGGGGGAAGCAGGCTCCCCGCTGAGCAGAGCCTGATGCCCGATCAGTCCCAGGACCCTGAGATCATGACCTGAGCCAAAGCAGAGGGTTAACCCATTGAACCCCCAGGCGTCCCCTGCCCCCAATTATTTATTTTTGTTGTTGTTGAAATCAAGTATTTAATGCTGTCAGGATCAGTAATTTGGAATATGGTAAGCTTTCTGGGGCACATTTCCCATTCATAGATCCACAGATGGTAGAGCTGGAAGGAACCTCACAGATCAGCCGGTTCCACAGTTCTCAAACTTGAGCATGCGTCAACGTCACCTGAAGTCCTCCTTACAACACAGATTGCTGGTCTGTCTCCAGGAATTTCTGATTCAGTAGGTCTGAAGGGGCACTGAGAATCTGCATTTCTAATTTCTGAAGTGATGCGATGCTTCATCACTTTTGAGAACTACTGATTTAGTCTAACTAACCAGAAAGTTTAAGTGACTTGTTACTACGATCCTACATAATTGATCTAAATATATATTGATTTTAACAATTGCCATTCATTTTTTTTTTTAAGATTTTACTTTTTTATTTGAGAGATAGAGAGCACAAGCAGGGGGAGCAGCAGAGGGAGAGGAAAAAGCAGACTCCCTGTTGAGCAGGGAGCTCCATGCAGGGCTTGATCCCAACACCCTGACATCATGACCTGAGCCAAAGGCAGAAGTTTAACGGACTGAGCCATCCAGGTGCCCACTGCCATTCATTTTTATACTATAGTTCTTTTTTTTTTTTTTAATATTTTATTTATTTATTTGACAGAGAGATAGAGAGAGCACAAGCAGGCAGAGAGGCAGGCAGAGGAGAGGGAGAAGCAGACTCTCCACTGAGCAGAGAGCCCGATGCGGGGCTCGATCCCAGGACCCTGGGATCATGACCCGAGCCGAAGGCAGCCGCTTAACCGACTGAGCCACCCAGGTGCCCCGATACTGTAGTTCTTAAGGTGGGTTTAAATTAAATAAATTCCAAGGTCTTTTACAATTTCTTTAAGGAACTAAGATATAAACTTAAGATTTCAGTACCTTGTGATTATAGGTCAAACTTAAAGCTGCTTAGACAAAATACCACATAAAGGGCTAATTATTTACTGTGAGAAGTTGTTGTAGTGAGGTCAGTTCTTTATTTAAATTCCCTTTACAGTCTGCATTGTTTAAATTTAGTTTTATTATCCGTGAACAGATCCTTTCTTATAATAGCAGCTAATATTTTTGGAGTAATGTGTGCCAGGCATTGGTTATACTCTTTATGTCCGTCCCCAATTATTAAGACGAGAATGACTCACCAAATTCTAAAGGAGTCAAGCGTCTTGCTCTCCTTGGTCAATTCTCTATTTTATTTGGCCATTTCAACAGCATCTACACTGCATAGTTTACAGATTTTGAGACATTAGCATTAATGTTCTAGATGAGGACTTTTGCCACATAATGTTCCCTTTTATTAACAACCTAGAGCAAGACTTTCCATGGCTCACATTTTCACTCAGAACCACACACAAAAATTTACAAATTATTATATACTAACTTTTTATTTAATGTTTCCGGTCTGTGTCGGAAGGCCCAACCTAGAATCAGGGCCATCTTTTTCAACGAAACCAATTTGAAATTTTTAAAATTTGTGCTTAATTTGTTAACATGTGTTTTAAAATTTATTAATAAACTTGGGAGACTAGAGAGGCAAAAGGAAAACCAGGGAAACCTTTTTTTTTTTTTTTTTTTTTTTTGGCGTAAGAGATCTGGCTCAGTTTAGAACAAAGAATTAACTACTTATATGAGGGAATCATCATAAATATTGATTACTTACCACTTGGTCTCCAGCCAAACCACCTAATAAGCCCAGGGTAGCTTGGCTGATAAGGAAGGTTCTAGTAATTCATTTTTATATTATGATAAGCTTTGGCCAATTTACCTTTTGGGATCATATTGGACTCCAAGTGTTTATTATAGACAGTTGATTTCCATAAGCTGAAACCTATTTCTTGATGCTCTCCTTGGTGCTCTGGGTGGGTAGGACCTTTAAAGGCATCATTGTCAATAAATGTTCTTGATGTCCCCTCCCAAGACTTTGTACCGACCCCATCTTACCTTTAAGACTCTTTCGCATGTTGGTTAGCCCTTTGCCTTGACCCTTCCTTTGCATTTTGTGACAGGTAGTTCTACCTCTGACCAGCTCCTGTCTGTCTTCATGGGTTCCAATCTTTCCACCAACCCCTTTACTAGCTCTCTTCCCTGGAGTTAGCTCCTTGATTATTTTCTTACACTATGAATTATTTTCTACAAACCTACAAGCTTCCTCCACTATCTTTACCCTGATCACTCTCCCTTCTATAGCTCCATGGAGAGTGGGTGGCATTTTGGGGTACTCCAAACCATTGGGTCCAAAATGGAACCGCTTTCCCCCCAGCCCCATCCAGAAGCCCCATGCTGCCTCTCCTTATGAATTCCCCATTACCCATCTAGTCCTGGTGTAAGAAGCCTCAGAGCCACTGTTGGCTTCACAAGCCCCTCCTTGCTTCATTTTGTCCCCTGGTCTCCTAACCACTGCTGGAATCCACATGTCCTTCTATGTCTCCTCCAACCCAGTTCCAGCACCATCTCCTCCAAGAAGCCTTAGGGTTTAAAGAAAGTTTTCTTCATCTGTGTGACCCCAATTACATGCACATGGCAAGTCCTCATTAATGCTTTATCCGTGAACTGCCACATCCCACATAAAGCTGGATCTTTCCAAATTGACAAATTAGCAAGCGGGTGTGTCCTCAGCATCAAACTCGCTAAACCGGACTCCTTCTGCTTCTACAAAGAAGGTATCTCTAAACGCTGGAGATGGTGACCTTATTCTCTGTGGCTAGCTAGATTTAATTTTTATTTGTCCATTTTGCAGAAGTCTGGGAAAAGGGAATTTCCTCCCATCACTTGCATTTTCTTTCCTATTTCCCGTTGTCGACTGCTTGTTTACTGGCATCGTTGTAATCCTCATAAAAAATTCCATCCAAGTTTATTTCCTTAAAGCTATGATATAACTTACATATTTTTCCGTGTCGCTAAACATCAAATACAATTTTTTCGTGTAAGATACATCCTAATTAGCCAAATGTTTCACTTTCATAAGCACTGCGTTGTTCACTTCTCATATGTAATTCTCCATAGGGTTCTTTCTTTAGTTGTTTTGATTGAGTTGGGGGCTCTTTGAGAACCAAAAGACTTTTGGAATGCAGCCTGCAGGAACATTTTCAAATTCTCCAGCTGCATCCTCAGGTGGTGGGAGGTGTGCGGGCTTTCCCCTGGCCCATGGGCCACCATGAGTAAGTTGGATTCAGCCATATGGCAGGAAGGTGACTTTTTATGTCACTGTCACCGGCTCTGGCCAAATTTGCCCCCTGGCTCTTTCCTTTCTGGGAGCCTCTTGAATGATCTGCCACCTTTTCTCCTGCTGAGGGCTCTGGCACAGGGTGCTTGGGACACCGGGACCATGGTCATGGGCAGCGACAGGAGGCCGTGGGTCAGCTGTATGGTTGGACAGAGCTGCATAGAATTTGTATGTGGTTCGGGACTGGTCATCTGAGAGTGTTAGGTCTGTGTGTGTGTGTGTGTGTGTGCATGTGTGTGTGTGTGCACGCATGTGGTTTTCTGACTTTAGATCTCCTTACACACTTGCACGATTGGTCTGCGGATTTTGTGTGATTAGCCAAATATGTGTATTTTTGAATGTGAGTGTGTGTAAGGGGGAGTTAATGTGTGTGTGTGTCCTTGGGGGCATGTGGAGGGGGTTGGTCCTTATGTCTCTGCACATGTATCTTTGGATGAGTTTGTGGTGTGTGTGTGTTTGTGTGTGTGTTTCTAGGTTAGGGCGTGTCTCTGCGTCTGCATGTGTGTGTGGGGGAGGTGCATACCCACATGCTTGTGTGTCTATGACTGTGTGTGTGTGTTTCAGGATCGGTGTGTGTAATTCTGGCTGTGAGTCATGAAGATCTGAGGAAAGACCACAACACCCAGCCCAATGATTCTGGACTTGGGGACTGAACCAATTGGGCAAAACCCCCTTTGATGGCTAAGTGATGTGCTCCCCATTTGTGGCCCGCTAGGAGTCCGTTAAGAAGGACCGACTTCCTGACAAAGAAAATAATGAACAGACATCTGGGGTGCCATCATCCCTCAGCGCCTGGGCCTCTCATACCCACAGGAGCCTGGGCCGGAGCTGGGGCTGGCTGCTGGGCCTGGGACCACACCCTCTAGCCTCCACAGCCCCGCTCCGTGTAACCTGAAGCTGCTTCTCTGGTAGGTTCCAGACATTTCCTCAGCCTGACAGCCAAGGGCTGCCCCAAGTGACATACAACCCCTTTGTCTCGCTGTGGCTCCAGGAGATTTTTCTCGGAAACGTGGTTCCCTGTAGTGTTGAAAGCGGGGTGCCTGCCAGCCATCTGTGATGACAAGAGGAAAAGTACCTGTTCCCCCCTCCCACACACACACCTGGTTCTCAGATCCAGGAATCTCCTCAGGGAATGCTCCTGCGTGTGCTCATTCATCCAGGTGGGACACTCATGCATCCCGGAAGCCAGAGTATCAGGGTGGCCTGGACACAGGCAGCTAGAAACAGGGACCCTGTAGGGAGAGAAACCCGAAGACTGGAGACAGGACCAGTCCCCAAACTTCCTCACCGACCCATGGTGACCATTAGGGCCATGTTTGTCAGGGACTGTCCTGGAGGTCCCCACAGCCCCGGGCACCCAGGATACCTGGTCACCCTCACCCCACCCCAGGTAGCACTGGGGTCTCCTGAGGGGAAGCTGCCTCTTGCCCAGGAAGTGTCCTCACTGAATGAACTGGATGGGGCCCCAGGATTGGGGCAAGACTGGGGACTTTACTCACCATGCTCAGACTGGCCGAGCCTGGGTTTTCCTTCTGCGTCTGGCCTGTGTCCACCTTCCCTGATACCAAGAACGTGGGGCTGAGGCTTTCTGTGGAAGATTCAGGCTGTGAATAGCTGTTGGTCACCTCAGTTTGGTCTCCCACAGTTTGGTCACCCACACCTACCTCCCCGAGGTCCTGGGGCAGAAAAAGCTGGTTGAGCTGGGGTTGGGAGGGTGGTGGTGGGTGGTGGGAGTTGTTGAGAGAGTGGGGACCAACATCGAATTTGAGATCGTTGCCCGGCTTTTGGTGAGAGAAGAGCAGAGAGGTCCTGGGCCTTTTGAAAACTGAGGTTTTGTGATTCTAGAGCCAGGCTGGGTTAGAAGCTTCCGAGTTCTGTCACCAGAGGAGGAAAGCAATGAGCTTTCATTCAAGGAGGTTCAGAGAAGAAACAGCCAGGGTGGTGAAGGTCCCCCCTTAATGGGCGGCCCAAATGCTGAGGCCAGTGCCCCCCTGAGGGCAGACGAGCTGTTGACACTGAAGGGGAGTTTTCGAGGTGGACAGGGAAGTGATGAGCAGGGGAGGTGCATGGGAGCAGGACAGGCTGACCAGAGCCCCTCTAGGGCTAGGATGCTGTAGGGTGGCTACAGGTGTGACCTCAGAAACCAAAGTCAGGGACTTCTGAGGCCAAGCCTGGGTAAGGAAGACCTGATACCTGATAAGGAAGACCCCGAACTTCCCAGACATCCCTTCTTCCTCCCACCCTGCAAGCCTCCAGGCCCCAGCCCCTTCTAGCAGGGCTTTACCCCTCCTGTGGTGCCACAGCCTCCCTCTGCCAAAGGGACCCCAGGTCGCTGTCGCCTGGGGAGACTGGCTTTGGGGAATGGGGTAAGTACCAGGCACCCGGGGCTGTTGCTCCTTCAAGGGGGGGTTGCACTTGGCCCTGGGGAGGGGCACAGTCCTGCAGGGAAAGGTACCCTGAGTCCACTGAGCCCAGCCACCCCCTCCCAGTGGGAACTCGGAGGGCCTGTATGTGCCCAGTATGGACACAGAGCAGTTTGTCACATTTTCTTGGTCTGTGGACCGATCCCGAGGAGGAGCACTGACTGGGTGACCCTGGCCGGACCCCCATGTGGGTGAGAACTCACTGGGGAGTTCATTTAGAAGAGGTGTAGGTCCAGCTACTTTGATGAATACTTAAAACTTTCCCTTCCGTAATGGCTTTCTCTTCATACAACATCACATTCCGCATGAAACAGAACTTAATGTCCTTCTACAGAAGTCTCTGTGGTTTTTAAAATGATTTAATGTAAATGAAAACTTCTGGTCACCTTAGAGCAGGTACCCAGCCAAGTCATGAATAATTTTCTACCTTCAAAATCAACAAGTAGGGGATGAATTTCTGTTCCTGGGACATCTGCTAACATTTTCTGGGGGCTGAGGGCACCCCTCATCAGCAGCAGTGACAACTGGAGGGAGGGAGGACATTCTCCTGAGGAGACAGGTGGGATGGGCAGCAGGTATGGCTGAGTTCCCTGGACAGCCTTGTGCCAGGAAAGGGATCCTGGATCTCCACAATCACCATTTTTAAAAAAGATTTTATTTATTTATTTGACAGACAGAAATCACAAGCAGGCAGAGAGGCAGGCAGAGAGAGGGGGAAGCAGGCTCCCCGCTGAGCAGAGAGCCCGATGCGGGACTCCATCCCAGGACCCTGGGATCATGACCTGAGCTGAAGGCAGAGGCTTTAACCGATCGAGCCACCCAGGCGCCCCGATTTTCTTCTATTTTTTTTAAAAGATTTTATTTATTTAATTGACACAGAGAGAGAGAGATCACAAGTAGGTGAAGAGGCAGGCAGAGGGTGGAGGGGGGCGAAACAGGCTCCCTGCTGAGCAGAGAGCTGGATGCAGGGCTTGATCCCCGGACCCTGAGATCATGACCTGAGCCGAAGGCAGAGGCTTAACCCACTGAGTCACCCAGGCGCCCCTCCACGATCACCATTTTGAGTGCGCGACCCTTTCCAACTCCAGCTCTACTCTAACCTCCTGGGGCCCTTGTAGGCTCATGACTCAACCGTGCTGCACCTCAGTTTCCCTGTCTGTAGATGAGGCTAATGATAGTCTATACCTCATAGGCGGTTTGGAGAATGAACTGATTTTATTTGTCAAGAGCGTTGTCTGCTGACTGATCCTTAGGACTCTTGGTATGAATGGTGGAAGGTGCTGTCGCTGTCATTAATGAAGTCTCCTTGTGGGGGTTGGGATGATGGCGGTGGATTCTGAACCTGGCTGGACAGGAAGGGCAGGTATTCAATGACAATGAGTCAGCAGAGGTGGAGGACTCCGAGTCTGGGGGCAGGAGCCCCCCCCCCCCACTAAGGGCTTTTGCATTAGAATGGGAATGTTGCCTTCACCCCTAGAGAGGAGTTGGGGGGGTGCCTGCGACCCCACCCCCAGCTCTGACCTGCCAGGCGTTTGGTATTGGAGAGGACTTTTTTTTTTTTTTTAATCCTCCAACCTAGGATTAAAAGAAAAAATCAATGCAAAGATTTCCAGGAACGAAATGAATACCGTACTTTAACTGTGGCAGAAGGAAAATACACACATTATTAGAGTGCCCAAGACAGTTCGTGGGAACAAAAGGACGTACTCTTACACCCAAATGGACAATTTCCATGCAGTAAAACAAGTATAAATATGTGTGCACAAGGGGTAGGGGTGGGAAGGTGGCATGGGGAGAAAACGCTCACGAATAATATGGTAACATTTAATAACGGAAGTGGGAAGGCAATTATTAACCCCACGATAGACACGTGGGCTAGAGCTTTGTACTTTATGCAAAAGGAAACATGAAGAACAAAATATTTCAAAAGCATCCACCCTTCCCAACCCCCAACACGTCCCTAGGAAATATACTAGTGGCCTCTGACAGGTGCTATGGAGCCCAGGGCCCAGGCAGGGGGCCTGAGTTGCCAGGTGAGCAGAAGAACGTCCTGGGAGATCCTTTGATGCCCCTCGCAAGGCATCGGTGAGTGAGCCCAGACCAGGGAAGCCCTTGTGTTAACCTGGGGCGGGGGGTGTCTCTGCTTAGAGTTCTGAGATGTTGGGCTGCTCCCTGGTAGTGGGACGTCTTTCTGATATAAATAACAAAACCTCTCCTCTCGAGTTCAGCGGAGAGGAAGCTTTGCATGTCTGTCTTTTCCAGAAACCCGGGGTCTTTATAATCCCATCAGGACCCTACCTGGCTACAGGCAGGACGATGTGGGGAGCGGGAAGCTCAGAAAACCATTTACTGAAGCGGTGGTGGCAGGAACGGAAGGAAAGCCCACACCCAGCTCTGAGAGTCCAGAACTTTATGCCTTAACCTCACAGCTACATTTCCAGTGAGAGCCGGAGGGGGCGTGTGGGAGGGGAAAGGGGCCAGTTCTAAAGGGTTGCAGTCCCCCTCCCCGCACCCCACCTCCCACCATGTGTTTTACCCCGCCTTGCCTTGACATTGATGCTGTCAACTGCCCCGTGCCCACGTTCAAGGAGGCTGAATGTTTTGGATCTCTATGGATGGCTGTTAAGGTCCATCTGTGTTTTGGAGCAACTAGAGGGAAACACGGGGATGAGGGGGTGGGGAAGAGCATCGGGGACTTGGTTCAGACCCCAGGAAGCGCCTCATTTCTGCTCCAGTGGGGTCGTGCAGGCTGAATGCCTAGGGCTGGCTTGGGGACAGAAGATGGCAGAGCCTGGAGGTTTGGATCAGAGGGTGGGAGGGGCTGGACCCATCTTGCTCTCCCTGCCTTTTGGTCCTCAGTCTCTCTGTTGAGACCTCTTCTTATATCTGGGACCCCACCCTCGGCAATGAGGAAGGTCCTGTTCTTTATGTTGCTCTTTTTCCCAAGACCCTTGAGGCTGACATAATGTCACTGGGAGCTGGGGGACTTGGGGTCATCAAGTACTGGACACTTGGCCAGTGCCTTCACCCGCCCTTGTCATGCCAGCTCCTGAAAACAGTTTTTGAGAGAAGTGCTACCATCTTGATCACCACTGTCTGGTACACACTGGTGACCGATAGACACTTGTGGACTGAAGGAATGTATGGCTGCCATTCACGGAAGTTAGGCAATGAGTCAAGTTTACAAAGCAGCTAATAATGGCATGGCTCTCACTCGAATCAGACTGCCTCAGATGATGGCTACCCTTCTCTCACACACCCTCTTTTAATCCTGATTCCTTCCTGTTTCTGCTGTTGTCCACCCCCCAACCTGCTCTGGCCCTGCCACATGAGGGAGTCTGTCTTGTGTCCATTCCCTGAACTGCCCATCCCACTGTAGCTGGTCCTGATTTGGATGGGTGTGAGAAGAAAGGCATCATACCATTCCAGAACTTTCTCTGTGATGGGATGGCTTCCGGTCCATTGCACTTGTCCCCTAGGTCCTCTGAGCACCCCTGCCCTTCTCTGGTCTAGCCAGCCCTCCAGCCTCAGCTCCTGCCAGTCTCCTCCATCCCCAGGGTTCAGCTGCACAGAGCCCCTTGGCCCTCACCCAGAGCATCACAGTTCTCCTTCCTCCTGTCTGCATATAGGCTGTTCTCTATGCTTCTAGCATCTTCTGTCTGCACTTCATCCCTGTCTCTGGTCCCTGAGCAGCTCCCCCATGGTGGGATTGGGGGGCATCCCAGCTCTGATGCCCTGTGATGCACCCAGTGGGCAAGCCCAGAGGCGATGGCCCATGTGTAGAGGGAGAACTTTAATCACTAAGGGAACAAATTCAAGCAGCGCATCAGGAGAGGGTGTGGCGAGTCCCCAAGTGCCGGGGAGCCGCTCTTTGGCAAACCCAGTCAAAGTGGCTTGTTCCTCGCCCTACACGAAGTGGCTCGTGAAGCTCAGATACTGCCCAGGACACTGGTCAGGTTGGAGGTATGAGCCCCCTACTCTAGTCTTCCCAACTGGTGGGCAGGTGGAACCCCCTCCCCCGCTTCCCCTAGGCTCCCACGGCCTTAGGTTTGTTCTGGAAGATGAGAGGGTGGGCAAGACCAGGGATGCTGGTTCTGGGAGGCATAAGGAACCTCTGAGAAAAAGAGTTTTCCTATTTGTGACTTCCCAGGGGCAGGGCGGGGGCAGGGCACGGAGAGGAGCTGGCTGGACAGGCCGGAGCCGTGGGTGAGGCCTTGGGCGAGTCCCTGCCTTGCCTACTGCTTAGGAGAGTTTCTCAGGCTTACACTCTCCTGCCGGGGGTCCACCGTTATGCCCTTGATGAGGGTCATTAGCAAAGCTCTTCAAGAGGGGAGGGTGAGAGATGACTCAGACCCACGTAGGACTCAATCTTCTGTGTTAAAAGAGGGAGAAAATTGGAACACAAATGTGCATATGTTGGTATGACGGTTGGGAAGAAGCTGTCATCAGTGGTACCCTGAGGGGGGTGGACACTGGACTGGGGGGTGGGCAGTGGTGGGGGGCAGAGACATCTTACTGTCTGTGTTTACCAATGTATTTGAACCAGGAGCATGTACTCAAAATTTTAGGTAAAAAGCAACAGCAATACAACAGAAATATTCGTGAAAAGAGAAGATAGCTAGAATGGGAGGTGGCCAAGGCTCCCTTTGGGGAGGGGCAGAGTGGGGAATCCATCTCTGGGGGCCCCTCAGTGGGGGACCCCTCCCAAGCCAGCTGGGGGCCCAGGGCAGGGAGTGAATTTGGTTCTGCCCGTAGCACGAGCATGGGCACGACCAGAGCCATAACGACAACTTAAAAGGGGGTCACAGTCAGTTCTGTCAACCCCTTTGCCCCACGACAGGGAGCCCATGCTCTGGGGGGCCAGGTGACCTCCCCACAGTCACACAGGGTTGCTATTTCTGCAGAGATGACCATATGCTTGGATGAATGACCCAGACTGACTTTGGGGAGTTTAGATTCCTGTAGACACCCGAAAGTCACTGCATGCCTGTGCTTTGGTCTCTAATGGGATCTCCTGCTCCCTGTGCCCCTCTGTGTGTGGGCAGCAGTCCCACATCCTAATCCCCCAGAAGGGCTGGGAGTCAGGATAGTGTTTTCTCAACATTGGCTGTCCTTTGGTGACGCCCGGCTTTTCCACAAGCTTCTTAACACCCCTGCAAGCACCCTGCTGCGCTCCTTGTACCCCCACGAGCCCCACCTGCTTTTTGGAAGCTGAGTGAGCAAGAGAGGTCCCAGCAGGGAGATTTTCTTCCTGGAAAGAGGCTCCCCCTGCCCCATTCTGGTTCTACTCAGTGGGGAGGGACCCCCTCTCCAGACCAGACCGGAGAGCCACTTGAAAAGCATCTTGGTCCCACCCCCCTCATTTTACTGATGAGGAAGCCAAGCCCCAGAGAGGGAAGTGGCTCTCTCCGGAGCAGGCTGGTCACCAAGCTGGGAGGACAAATGTCGTCTCGCAGCTCACTCAGCTGCACTGGACCCCCAGCAGGTAACAGCGCCACCCACCCCCCTCGGGGCCACTTACTAAAACCCAGGCACAGAGCCACGGACTGACCTGGCTTTCCCGGACAGCAGGTAACTTTCCTGAGGCCAGCGGTGCCTCCGTGGTCTGGGTTCTGTCCAGACCTGCGCAGACCCAGCATCCCCGATGGCCGGAGGGCCAGCAGCCCAGCAGCCCCCACAGAGTCTCTGTGAAAATAGCAACGGCAAGCAGAGGACTCCTGATATTAGTGACATTTCCTACCAACCCTCAATTTCCTCCTGATTTGACTCAAGGTTGCAGCTTCTTGCTGGGGTGGAGACATCTCACGGTACGTAGCCCAGGAGCTTTCCCCAGGGGAGCTCGGCTTGCGTGCCATCACCTCCTGCTGGCCTGGCTGCCTGCTCTCCCGGAACCCGGCCTGGAAAGCACCCACAGCCCAAGATGACACACTCGAAGGAATCACCTGACAGCCCCCAAGCAACGGGCTCCAGGCAGGCCACAGCTGGGCTTGGGATCCCCGGCCAGCCCCTTACCAGTTGTATAAACTTCCTGGCCTCGATGTACCTCTCTGGAGAATGGGAGTAATGATGTTTTTTTTTTTTTCCCCCCTCATGGGGCTCTTGAGAGCAGTGAGTGATGGAAGTGCTCAATCGTGCAGGAAGCAAGAGGGCAGCTTTGACTGCTCTGATGTGTTATGACTGGATTATTTCCTATGGGTACCCCTATGGTACCCTGAAGGACGGCCCCATTGGGCCATGGTGATGCAGGTAGATCAGAGAAGTGGGCATTTGAAGAAAAGAATGAGGTTCTTAGGAGGGAAGGGGAGAGTCTGCAGAGAAAGAAGAGATGTTAAGTGGAACTGGACATGCCAGAAAGTAAGGAAGAGGGAACTGGGGGGCTCCTGGTTATATTGGATATTCGGGCTGGTGATGCTGATGGGGAGCTGAGGTGGGGGTGGAGAAGATAAAGGAGAGACTCAGTGAGCGCCAGTGAGACCCCTCACCACCTGTTTGCTCTTGGGTAGACTCTAGCTTCTCTGAGCCTCAGTGTCCTCATCTGTAAAATGGGCATGATTATAACAACATTCCAGGAGGGTGCCAAGTTCCCATTGCAGAACACTTAGCATAGGGACAGCCACATCTCAAGTCCCTGAACTGAACCTCCCGCTCCCCCAACCCCACTCCAACCCGCGAGGCTCAGGGTACAGCTCCAGCAAAATCTTGGAGTCTGGGAGATTCTGTGTGGTCTGTCCCCTGTGTGTCCTGTTCCTTTTTGCATCGTGTCTCCCAGAAGCCTAGCTCAGGTGTAGACAGATGGCTTTATTTACACTATGGTGTTAGTGGCAGATAACCACATCCAAGTAAATATTTATATTCTAACCGTGGACTTCAGTGCCTCACCCCAAAGGAGATGGGAACTGCTGGCAAGGAACCTGGATGACACTGGTCCAGGGGAGTGCTCCTCCTCAAACTACAACCCTCGGGCTGTATACCAGCTCTGCTCAGTCATGGCTGGACCTCCCTTCTCTTAGGTGGTTCATACCACAGTGCTCCATGTGGATGAGGAGTCTGGCAGCAAAAGAGAGGGGGATGGGGATCCTTCTCAGCCCTCAAACCTTGTTAAGTTCCATTCTTACTGTTGCTGGTGTTTCTGGAAAGTCTGTCTGCTGCTGGAAGAAGGGTTGGCTTGTTCTGAGCCACACAGCTGGGTTCAGGTGCTGAGGCTGTGCGTAACAGCTCTGGGGCTGCCCTGGGTGGGAGCCGGGCCCAGGCAGCTGCAGGAATCAGAGCCCAGAGCCTGACCCGACGGCAGGAAGAGAGCCAGCTCGGGGAGGCCACGGGCTCCCAGCTCGCTGTTCGGAGGAGAGAACCCAGAACCCAGATGGAGGCCCCACAGCCAGAAAGAGCCAGGAACCGAAGCCTCTGGACTGCCAGGCCCATCCCTCTTCACACACAGACTATTTTCTCTCCTCTTCACCAAATACAAGAAAGTGTTAATATATTGAGAGAAGATTCCATTTCAGGGTTGGAAAAAAAAAATCCTTACGTATGTGTGAATCCCCCTGACAACATTCTGGATAAACAGATCTCCTACCTTTGCTTACATACCTCTGGTGATAGAGAGCTCACTACATAGAAAGGCTGCTCTGTCTGCTCTCAGATACTCCGTTAGCAAGGCTGGTCCGTCTCTGTGGCATCTGGAGCCTGTTCTGTGAAGTCATACAGGGGAGCGTGTCTTGAGCACTGGGGGATGCTAAAATGTCTATTCTTTTATAGATCACGAGCGACTCTAGTCCTTTCCCCATATTCTCCTGGGCTGTGGCTCTCTAGCCCGTCCACAGGCAGCCCCAGCAGAAAGACAATCCCCAGCATGCAGGTGATCAGAGTGGTGCAAAGGCCACTGTCACCCCAAGTTCCTCTTCTAGATCCTCTAAGTAGAGCCTGTCTCCTCTCATTTGTCACCATTTTTCCTGTTTGCGAGAATACTTAAGAACGCCCATTTCCCTGTAAGCCGTGACTGCCTCTGTGTTTTGTGTATACATAAATAAAAAAAGAACAAATTCTTTTCCAATATTTTAGTAATGTAGTTCCGATTTTATCTGTGACTCACACATTATTTAAGAGACCATTTAAGAGATTGCATAAAAGTACCAATTATCTATTATTAATGTCACGGTGTTCAACAAATAGTTGTGCTTTCTTTATGGTCTGAGGGAGAGAGGATAGACTTGCCATTGTCTTGGAGACCCGGGCTGGGCCCAAGAACGGCATCCGTTTGGTGAAAAGATCCTTGTCGTCTCCCAAAGAAAGCATAGTCCTTTGATTTATGATTTGGTCCTCACTGATCTGCCTTTTTAATTGGGCTAGGAGGAGTTCGAAATTTCTGTGTACTTGATGGATGATACTTGGGGAAGGGAGGACCAAGGTCTCTACCTACAATTATATTTCTGTTTCTACTTCTTTTTGCATTTCTGGCATGTTCTGTATAGAAATACATTATGTATTTCCTTGCTATGCGCCTTGGAACAGAAATTAAGTGTTTTATGTTTTAATTATTCATTGTAACTTTTACCTCTGTAAAGTCTCTGTGTTACTCTCTCAATTCTTTCTATGAAACAAAAATTACTTTGTCATATTCTCTTTTTTTTTTCCTAGAGTTCTGTGTGCCTGATAAGCCAAAATTGCCCTATCATTTTACTCTGTCCATGCCTTTTTTTTTTCCTCTGTGTTTCCTATGTGGGGGTGGGGGGAAAGGTCTGGGCTTTTTTAATGAATGCCCTTTTTCAGAGGGAGTGTTAACATGGTCAGGGAGTGCTCTAATTCTATTATGTAATTGTTACATTTGTGTAAACCTCCTCGGGGTTACCCCTGCTGTCTACACAGAAACATGGTAGTTTTTCACATTTAGTTTCTATTGTGAATTTTCTCTTCCTTGTGTCCCTTTACAATAGACAAGATAATTTAACCTGAAAAATCCGATTTAGAAAATATGTAAGTTTTCACTCCAGCATTTGTTTCTCTTTACAGCTGTCCAAGCTTTGGGAGGATTTATGTAAATATCTTCCCTTCCCTTGACCCTCTCTCCATGGCTAATCTGCATTTTGAATGTCTTTTTGGGTCTGTCTTCATTCACTCCTCATGTTAGGCACAATTTTTATGATGTGATGGCTGACCTGTGGACAGATGAAGACTTTTTTTTTTAAATCACCGATCAGGTTCTTGTGGTCATTGCTCATCTCTGAGGTGGCATCTGCTCTCTCATCTGTCACTTCCAATTCTGTCATGCCTTGTCCCCAGGTCCCTCAGATGCTGTCTGTTGAAATGTTCATCCTCGGCCCTGCAACACTGATGTCTCACCAGCTGAGCACGGGTTAGACCAATGCCATCTTTTAAATTTTATGTGAACCTCACTCCTACCTCTGCCATGTCTCAAACACTCTCTCAGACTTTTCTTCTTTTAAGAGAAAGTCAAAAGCTGTTCTTATTTTTCTCCTTTTCTCCCAGCATTTATTACAACTTAAAAAAATTAAATTGTTTTCATATCATCATTAATTAGAAAAATATACACACGGTGGGGTGAGAGGAGAGAGAGAGAGGGTGATTTAAAAGACTGAATACATTGGGGCATCTGGATGGCTCAGTGGGTTAAGCGTCTGCCTTCGGCTCAGGTCATGATCTCAGGGTCCTATGATAGAGCCTCAATTCAGGCTCTCTGCTTGGCGGGGAGCCTGCTTCCCCCTCTCTCTCTCTGCCTGCATCTCTGCCTGCCTCTCTGCCTACTTGTGATCTCTGTCTATCAAATAAATACATTTTTAAAAAAATCTTTAAAAGAAATTTAAAAAAACTGAATAGGGGGCGCCTAGGTGGCTCAGTGGGTTAAGCCTCTGCCTTTGGTGTGGGTCGTGATCCTAGGGTCCTGGGATTGAGCCCCGAATCGGGCTCTCTGCTCAGCGGGGAGTCTGTTTCCTCCTCTCTCTCTGCCTGCCTCTCTGCCTACTTGTGATCTCTCTCTGTCAAATAAATAAATAAAATCTTAAGAAAAAAAAGAAAAAAAAGACTGAATAAATACCCACCATCTAACTGTTAGAATGTAACCAATGTTGGACATATGGAAATTTTTTTCTAGTTTTTTTTTTTTTTCTCATGTGTGGGTTTTTTTTCTTAAATCATAGTTGAAGTCATTCTGAATGTATCGTTCTGTAGTTTGTGGGTTTTTTTACTTAACACAGTCAGCATAAACATAACATAATCAGACAGAAAAATTTTCCATTGAGTAGATTTACCATCGTGAAATTAAGCTCTGGGTGGCATTTAATGCGTGTGTGTTTTTTTGCTAGCACAAAAAATGTTCAGGTAAACACATTTTCTGTACACGACTTTTTTTGCTTTTCCGGATTTACTTAAAGTAAATTTTTAATGACTGGATAAAAGATTAATAAGGTTTCTCTGACTTGTCCTCTAAGTTATCAAATCTAGAAGCTGTGTACACTCAGCAGCATATCGATGACTGTTTCATAGAACCCTTACTAGCTTCTTTGTTGAAATGATGAGCAAAAATTTTATCTCTTTGTAAATCCTCTTCTGGGAACTCTCCGTCCTTTGTCTGTTTGTCTCCTGAGGATCTTTGTATCATATAGTTTTTATACTCTTCATAAAGAAAGAACATCATTCATCTGATGTTTCTGTGTATTTTTCCCCCCTGGTATATTACTTGATGTGAAAATGTTTTAACAAAATGTTAAAAAGAAGGTTTCTACATATTGTGGTCAGAATATACCCAACATCATTTCTGCCTTTTTTTTTTTTTTTTTTTAATGGAAGACTTTGTTCTTGATAGGGAGATAATTCATTTTGTTAACTGTTTCTTGGATACTGGAGAAAAAATTATCTGCCCCCGGAAGCTTCTTTCCTTCTCTCCGTCCACAGATGTCAGACCTGCTCTCCCCTGTATCCTACACAGGCATTTGTCTCTCCAACATGGAACCCTGTCTAAGCATCGCTTCCCAGCCTCCCACCCCCACGCCAGTGGACCCCTGGGTTGACTGGCTCAGGACCTATCTGTGGCAACAGGTCAAGTGAGGGGAGCTTGCTGGTTCCCACCACAAGGGGACTGGCTTTTACTGGCAGCCCATCTTTGAGAAAAATGACTTTTTTATCTCTCGCTGCAGCCTGGATCCTTTTTATCTTATTCCAGAGAAGTTCCTGGTCTTTTTTTTAAAAAGAAGACTTTCAAAAAGATGGTTTCTTTGAACTTTCAGAGGGAATTCAGAGGATTAATTTTTCAGATTTTCTGCTTACTCTGCCATGAGGTGGAAGTATTTTTTTTTTCCAAACTAATTTCTTTTTGCCAGTCCATAGAATGCTTTCTCTAACTTCAAAGATTACCTTTTGAAAAGTTCCCATTTGAAGTCTGTCAGTAATTCAGATGTGACCTTTGGGATGGTCTGGGTGGAGAACCCTGAGGGCTAAGTTGTGCCTTTTTCCACATATCCATCTGGTACCATCAAGTCAGAGAAGCCCCAGCATCTGTCAGACCATTTTCTCCCGTCCTTTTTTTTTTTTTAAGTTTTTTTTTTTTTTTTTTTAATATTCATTTGTGAAACAGAGGGAGAGAGAGAACATGAGCAGTGGGGGAGGCAGAAGGAGAAGCAGGCTCTCCCCTGAGCAAGCAGCCCGAGCAGAACTCCATCCCAGGACCCTGAGATCATAACCTGAGCCAAAGGCAGACAGTTAACTGACTGAGCCACCCTGGCACTCCAGGTGGGGGAGGCCTTCTTTAAATAAAGGAATACAAAGCTAGCTATAAAAGGGAACACCTACTTTAGAATGAGAATGAGAAAATAAATCACAGTGAATTCAAATTTTAAGAATTGATAGATACTACAGACAGAAAAATAGTTTTTTTATTAATTGGCTGCTTTGTGCACCTCATAGGAGACTTAAAAAAAAAGATTTTATTTATTTATTTGACAGAGATCACAAGTAGGCAGAGAGACAGGCAGAGGGGTGAGTCCCATGCAGGGCTAGATTCCAGGACTCTGAGATCATGACCTGAGCTAAAGGCAGAGGCTTTAACCCACTGAGCCACCCAGGTGCCCCTCATAGGGGCCTTTTTAAATTTTTGTTTTATGTCTTTCATTGCCTCTACATATATGATCATGAGTTCGTAGTATTTTCTACAGAAAGAAAAGGAAACTAGTCCTTCTTGTAATGTATTTGATCAAATTTAGTCAAATTTAAAAATGCCCAAAGCCTTCCTTCCCCAAGGCTTTCAAGGGAGCTATGCTGATGAGAAACAGCAGCAGAACAGGGCTTCTCTTGCTGACTGAAATCTGTGTAGCAAAGAAATAAGTCACGGGGATGCTCTCTGTGGAAGTTTTTATTTCCCAGTAAAACCCTATGAAACCTGAATGTTCGTCAACAGGCTGTTGGCTAAATGGGTTGAGGTATTCCCACACAACAGGATGTAAGTGTGCCATTAAGAAGAAAAAGCCTATTCATACACGCTGATGTGGAAACAATTTCCAAGAATCGTTACAAAGTGAAAAAGCAAGGGGCAGTACTATGGGTGTAATATTTTCTAAATGTAAAGAAACATCGTTTGTGTGTGTGTGTGTGTGTGTGTGTGTGTGTGTGTGTATCCTTGGAAAATTTCTGGAAAAATATGTACAGAACTGTTAACCACAGTTGTCTCTGGAAAGGACAGCTGAGGCCCTGGGGTACAATGGAGGCTTGCATCTATCTATCTATTCTTTCTTTCTTTCTTTCTTTCTTTCTTTCTTTCTTTCTTTCTTTCTCTCTCTCTCTCTCTCTTTCTTTCTTTCTTTCTTTCTTTCTTTCTTTCTTTCTTTCTTTTTCTTCCCTTCCTTCCTTCTTTCTTTCCCTTTCAGTACTGTCTGAAGATCTTATTGAATGCATAGGATATTTTCTCAATAATAATAATAATAATAATTAGCTGGATAACAGATACTCAGCAAATGACTGCATTGGTCGCTAGCGCAGGATTCTGGGTAAAGAGTGATGTTGGCCACTTCTCTCAGCTGTGCCCACATTTTGGGCCCCCACCCCTGCTGCCAGGAAGTCCCTGAGGGCAGGAGAGGCGCAGTGAGCCTCCCTGGGCTAGCGTGACTGGCCTCTCCCATGCAGGGGCCCTGTGTGCTCCTGGGCCTGGCACAGACCAGCCGCGTCAGCAGAGCTGTGCCCTGAAAGGAGAGGTGTGTGCACGGAGTCTGGGTCATCTGAATTCTCTGTCCAGCCTCGTTGGTTCTGGAGGTCTGGGTCAAGTGAACATCTCCTGGGTTTGATCTACTCCAGGGCCACTGTTACAGACTGAATGTTTGTGTCCCATCCCCCTTCCCAAATTCACATACAGAACTCTAAATACCCCCCACCCCCACCCCAAGGTGGTGGTATTAGGAGGTGGGGCAGTTTGGGAGGTGATCAAGGCTCATGAATGGGATTAGTGCTCTTAGAAAAGAGACCCCAGGGAGCCCTCTTGTTCTCTTTCTGCCCTTGGCAGAGGGCCCTCCCCCAACCGTGCTGGTTCCCTGAGCTCCAACCCCAACCGATGTGGCAACCTTCCAGGATATGGGTGGCAGACAGCAGAGGGACAGTGTGCAAAGAGGGTCTGGGTCCTGGAAACAGCATTTGAATTCCTGATCAATCCATAGCTCAGGTCGGCCCTGCCCTGGTTAGTTTTTCAATTATGTGAAACGGTCCTTTGCTGAAGCCATTCTGGGCCAGGGTTTGGACTTTCAGCAGGAGTTCTGATTAAAAACAAGGGACAGATGTTCACACACACTTCCATTTTTGTAAAAGAGAAAGGCTTGCGTACACCTGTGCATGCGTGAGCGCCTGTGATACAGAGAGAGAATTTGGAATGAAATATACAAAAAGGTAACAGCCCTTATAACTGAGCAGCAGGATTAGAGGTATTTTCTTTCTAGCGTTTTCTAATTGTGATTCAGTAGGCACGAATGACTGTGTGATACAGTCCTTTGGATCTGTCACCTGTAGAGAACGAGAGGGACTTCATCTCCTATGTCGTTGGTGTTGTAGGAAAGAACATGAGCCCGCAGCTCAACAAGAACCAGAGCTGTTCCTTCAATGAGGTGGACGAGCTGATGAAAACCGTGCAACTGGCCGTCCACATCCCAACGTTCCTCCTGGGTCTCCTCCTCAATGCATTGGCCATCCGAGGCTTCAGCTCCTTCCTGAAGAAGAGGTGGCCGGATTACGCCGCCACCTCCATCTACATGATCAACCTGGCCATCTTCGACCTGCTGCTGGTGCTGTCCCTTCCGTTCAAGATGGCGCTGTCCAACGTGCGCGCCCCCCCTCCTTTCTTCTGTACCTTGGTGGAGTGCTTCTACTTCGTCAGCATGTACGGGAGTGTCTTCACCATCTGCTTCATTAGTCTGGATCGATTCTTGGCCATCCAGTACCCGTTCCTGGTCAGCCATCTCCGGTCCCCGAGGAAGATCCTGGGGATCTGTGGCACCATCTGGGTCCTGGTGTGGGCCGGGAGCATCCCGATCTACAGCTTCCATGGGAGGGTGGAGAAGTACACGTGCTTCCACAACATGTCCGATGGCACCTGGAGTGCCAAGGTCTTCTTCCCCCTTGAGGTCTTCGGCTTCCTTCTTCCCATGGGCGTCATAGGTTTCTGTTCCTCCAGGAGCATCCGCATCCTGGTCGGCCGTCGGGACCTCACCCAGGACTGGGTCCAGCACAAGGCCTGCATCTGGACGATCGCAGCCAGTCTGGCTGTCTTCGTGGTCTCCTTTCTTCCCGTCCATCTGGGCTTCTTCTTGCAGTTCCTGGTGCGGAACGGCTTCATCGTGGAATGCAGCTCCAAGCAGAGCATCAGCTTGTTCTTGCAGTTGTCCATGTGTTTCTCCAACGTCAACTGCTGCCTCGATGTCTTCTGCTACTACTTTGTCATCAAAGAGTTCCGCATGGACATCATGGCCCCCCGGCCTTCCAGGGCCCAGCTGGTCCTCCAGGATACCATGACCACCAGGGGCTAAGGAGAGAAAGACTGATGCAGAGGAAGGAAACTCCAGCCCCAGATTCTGGTAGCAGATACCCTGTTGCAAGGTTTCTGATGTGATGGACGAATGTGGCATATTACTGGTACGCTTTCCCTTTCGATGCTCACTGAACACAGTGTTTGCTCATTATGCTCCAAAGACCTTTCCCCCGCACCCAGACAGCTCAACATAAATCACCCAGTATTTGGGAATCTTTGAAGGACCTGAGAACCATGTGAATTCTTTACTTCTGCGTGAGGCAGAAGAATCGAAAAGACGGAGACCATCTGAGCGAGGCTGTTTCCCAGCTCCCCCCATCCTTCTGTTAGACTGGGAGATTCTGGAAAGGAAGAGAGAGGTGTTAGGAGAGAGAACCAAGAGGGTTGGTCAAGGAGACTTGTAGTTCCCAGTCCCTTCTCAGGCTCTGGAGGCCAGTAACTTCACAGCTAGTGGGGGTGATGAGCGCAGAACAAGGACATACAGAGAGCCCCACATTTCCTATGGGGAAGAAAGACCCAGAAAGCCAGCCAAGCCTTCCTATGCCCACAAGAAAGCGGCAGAAGGATGAAGGAAGCTGAGGTGAACCGGGCCGTGGTGAAACTATAGCTTGTGATTGACAAGCCTAGGAGAGGGGACTTCCCTGAGCGTGACCGGCTTGCTAACTTGAACGGACTGGGAGGCTGTTCGTGAGGCTGTTTCACTGAGAACGAGGAGAAAAAGGCTTGACTGGGGTCCACCAGAGGAGAATAAGGACCCTGTGCCTGTCTCGCCCACCCGAGTCCTGTCTGGGCGGCTGGCCGGGTGGCACTGTCCACAGGACTGTCCCTCTCCTGGGGTTGGGAGGGAGAAAACGAGCCAGCCGGGGATCGGAGAAACCATTTGATGGCACGCAGCTCCTGGCGGTTCCTGGCTGGAGACTGTCAACCATGGAAATCACGATCTGGCCCTGGCTTCTCGAATGATCTCGAAGAGGGTCTGCCAAGACCACAGCAAGCCTTCCGATGACTCAGACTGCTCCAGAGAGCCGACCGATTACAAGGATGAACTGTGGGGTGGTTTGGCAGGACGGGGTGAGTGGGATGAGATGGAAGAGGTGAGCTTCGTGTGAAAAAGGGGGAGGTTTGGAGGAAGCAAAGAACCACTTTCTACCTGTAGGTAAAGAAGCTTCCACCGCTAAGTGGTGGACGGAAGGTAGGGTGGCAGGGTGGCGGGGAAGAGGGTGGTTTGGGTAAAAGCCTGACAGGAGGCGGAGGCGGAGATCGGGCGATAACCCCAGGCTTGCAGCTCCGGGGCTCTGTGAAGGAGGCGGGGGTGGAGGGACGGGGAGGAAGGATGGAGTGCAGAGCTGCTTCCTGCTTGAGAATCCCCGGCTCGAACGAGGGCCATCCAAGGCTGGAGCCTCTCTACCTCCTGCTTTGGCCACAGCTGACTTGGTGGTCAGGGGCAGGAAAGGGCGAGGAAGCAAGTGTCAATGCTGGGGTGGAAATGGGTGCGGAGGTGTGATCCCAGCCAGGATCAGAGGCTCCCCTCCTGCAGGCAGGGCCTCCAGGGGGCAGCAGCCAGGGCGGGGGTCCTGCAGACCCAGCCGCCCCAAGGTGCCTACAGCGCCATGGCCATCCGGCCCAGAGGCTCTAAGGAAGCCAGGCTGTTACATACAGCAGATGCTGGTGCCAGACAGGGCTCAGAGGCCCTGGATGTGTGCGATCAGTCCTCTCCTCCAATTTCTGTCTGTCTTTGCACTGGGAGCCCATCACGAGGCGCTTACATCTCCTCGTGTACTTTGGGCCAGACAGGCATCCTAAGAAGAGGAGACAGCAATGCCCTGACCACCTGTCATGCCTGTGATGTTCATAAACATAAAATTTTGTCTCATGGGTAGCCTGCCCCTGCCAGAGCTGGGTGACAGAGGAGGCGGGAGGGGAGGAGAGGTCTGTGAGTGGTGTAAGTCCTTGGAGGGGGACAGCAGTATCAGGTCGGTGTGGTGACTGTGGGCTTGTTGGGGAGCCTTGGAGACCCCCTGACTGATGCCAACACACTGGGGGAGAACACAGGCCTCTTCTCTCTCTCCTTGCAGACCACTCCTAGTCTGCAAGTCACAGAGGACTCATCGGGGCCTGTGGGAGTGGGCTTGGACCCAGGACCTCCGGCCAGGCTGCTCTGCCGGGGGCTTCACACTCAGTCCACCGGGCATGGAAGGGGCAGAGGTCAGGGCCGGGGTTAAGGCTGGGTGCTGAGGCATCCAGGGGCCCTCTCCTGCCAGCAAGGGGCGGTCAGTGAGTTGGAGAACTCTGAGCTCAGCTGTGGAAATGGCTGAAATGCCTGTCAGTAAAGGAGGCTTGGGGATATTACTCAGCCGTCAGTGTGACCATAGTTTTCCTCCCAGTCTGGAAAAACCCAAGAGATACTTGTAATAGGTACATGCATGAAAGTAGCACAATTTATTGGGAAAATGATCTGATCAATCGGATTTACCAAATAAACGGATTTCTGTGGTGCTGTGTGACGTGGTGATGGGGAGCACTCGGGCAGCCCTGGCTTCAGGGGAGAGCCGGCCGCTGAATCCCTTGCCTGGTGACACGGCCGTCTTGGCCAAAAGAGCCAAGAAGGGCTCATGCTGGAGCGGCCGCACGGATGCCGAGTATGGGAGTACGGGAGTACCCCGAGACTGCTCCCAGCGCAGCTCCCTACACCCCTACACCCACTTGTGTACTTGGCTCCCTGTGGCAGCAGCTGGGCCACAGAGAACCCCCGCACCCAGATCCAGCTGCTGTCCCTCCAGGACTGAGCCCGCCACACCCACTCCCTCCATCATGTCCCACTGCCATCGTGACTCTGGAGCTGCTTCCAAGGGCCCAGGCTCCTTTTACAGACATTGTGTGGCCCAGCATAGGTGGCCTGCTGACCCCCAATGGGCGAAATACACAGGGCCAGCCCCCCAGAGGTCCTTCACTGTGCCCCCTCCCTTCACCAACTACCTGTGGTGTGAGTCTGACTCTCCCAGGTTAAATCTGAGTTTTCTGTCATGGCTCCTGACAAGAGAATCCTGCTCGCCTATCCAGAGCTTCTGGAGAATGGGAGCTCTTAGGTGCTGGCCTGGACCACCTCTTTCTCCTAAATTTCTCCCAACCTCGGGCATAGCTAAGTTGCGGCCTGGGTGCTGCGGGCTGGCTGGGGACATCCCCACTCTGGACAGTTGTTATGTGTCTTCCCTCAACCCCCAAATCCATATTTTGGAGTCCTAACCCCCAGTATGACAGTATTTGGAAATGGGACCTTTGGGACATACTTTGTTTTAGATGAGGTCCTGAGCTTGGAGCCCTCACAATGGGATTGGTGTCCTTACGAAAGAGCCACCAGAGTCTTTTTGCTTTCTTCTGCCCCACTGCATGCGCGGAGAAAGGCTGTGTGAGGACGTGGGGAGAAGGTGGCCATTTGCAACCCAAGAAGGGAGCAGACGTCAAACCTCGATCCTGGGCGTCCAGCCTTCAGAACAGTGAGACATACTCCTGTTGTCAAAGTCTGTGGTATTTTGTTACGACAGGCCAAGAAGATCAATGCCACAGCCATCTCTTCTGACCCAGGAGCCACCTCCCGTCTTTGCCGTGTCCCCTCCAGGGAAGGATTGACCTTCCTTTGGGGATATCAGCCCCCGGGGGACTTTTGACAGGCAGAATGCTGGTCCGTGAGCTCCATGGTCCTCTTGCATCCCTCTCTGGGGAGCCTGTGAAACTGAAAGACCACAGCCTTGTAGCAAGTTGCCACAAATAAAGCCTAACTGCAAAGATGCTTGAAAAGGCCGAGGGCTGGCAGGTGACCATGGAGACCAGCAGAGGCTAAAAGAGCTTCAGTTAATAGGTCGGTGAGGAGAGCCTGGTATGCAGAGCCGTCCTGGGGTAGGGACACAGGCATCTGCACTCAGGTACCACGTGGAGATGGGGGAGATTCCCACATGGAACTGTCTTCCACCGTGAGGCCACCGTGGGAGCCCTGCTGCTTAGGGGGTGGGGGCTCAAGACCCAGAAGAATGGCACTTTGGGGGGGGTTGGAAATGCCCCCTACAACCACCATCACAACCCCTTCTCTCCTTTTCCCACCTGCAGCCGGCTTCCCTGTGAGCCCAGGACGCACCACCTTGAACGGGTCTCTGTGGGAGTGTGGGCGGCAGGGCGAGGAGGACGGAGTATGGGTCTTGAAGCAGGACACAAGGACGCCCCTCCCCCTGGCCAGTTTGAGCCTGAGCATCCCATCCCCTGCCAAGAGCCTGCAAGATGTGACCTCTCCACAAAGCCGCCGCCGGCCCCTTGCTCGGGAGCTGCAACCTGAGTGTGGGCTCTGTGCTTTGAAGTCTTGGAAGGAAGATTTGAAGCCTTGTCACTTCAAAGCCTGATGTCGGTTCTGCTTGGTGGAGGGCCCCGACTTCACCTTGGGGGCGTCAGACAGCCTTTGTTCTTCGGAGACCATCACTGGGGCAAGTGTCACCAAGATGCTCCCTTTGAGGGGAAGCTGTTGAGACAGAGGTTCCGGGGGACACCTGCAGTCACGCAAACCCAACAAAGCCCAGCCCCCAGTGACAGACCTATTCTCCAAGGACAGCTCGGGCGGTACCTCCATGTCAGTGACAGTGACATGTCTGTGTGTCCAGGGGAGGCCACAGAGGATGGAGGAGAGATACGCAGGAATCAGAGGGCCCCAGCCTCCAAGATCCTAGGATCCCAGCGGCTTCTCATGGACGGTGTCTTCCCCATGGCATGATGCTGACTTGGGGACCATACTGTGTCCAGGAACCCAGGGATCATGTGGGAGGTTCGGGGCCAGACCACAACTCTGTCGGTGGGTGGTGGGGTTTCCCTGCAGGGCAGACAGGCCTTCCGAACAAGAGGCCTGGCCCCACATCGGTGGGGACACCTCACCCTCCACAGGGAGCACTGGGCTCCCGTCTCTGGGAGTGGCCACCTCTGGGGGCGGATATGGACCCTTTTGCTTGGTTTTTCCTCCACTTTCTGTAAGTCTTGGGCATGGACTTCAAAGGGCAGCTGGAGCTGAATTCTCATGGATGGGAATCCAGCATGTGCCGCCGCGTGGGGCATGGCCGAAAGGAGAAGTGTGGGCAACTTGGCAGGAGGAGAACCCAGAAATACCTGGGGAGGAGAGCCCAGCAGAAGAATGGACTCCCTGCCTTGAGGGCCTTAGAGCAGTGAGACAGTGGGTCCTCCCTGAAGGGGGCCTGGATGCACCCCATGAGTTGCACCCAGAGGAGTGCAGGCAGAATGCTTGGTGAGCAGCTCACGCCACTCGTCTGGATCTTCTATTCCAGGAGGAGAGTTTGGGGCTGCGCATGTGGCTTGGCCTGAGACATAGAGGCCGAGTATCAGTCAGGGTGGGAAGCCACAGAGGGCGGAGTGAGTGGCCTCCTTCTGGGAAGGAATGCGGAATGTGGAATGGGAAGGTAGACAGAGTCCCTGGGAGCAAAGAGAGCCGGGGTCCTTGGTGCCCAAGTGTGGGGCCTTTAGACAAGTCAGACCCAGTGTCTTTGCCTCGAAGTGCCTTGGAGACTTTCCGAGGGCATGGAGTTGGTTCAGGGCAGAGCCCCAACTTGAGGGGGCAGGCTGAGGGGGGTGGGAGCGGGTGGTGGGCTTTCTCAGCACTCAGCTGGTGGTCTTCAGCTTCCAGCACCTGGCAGGCACTGGAGGTTAGCAGAGAGAGCCTCAGGGCCAGTGACAGGAATGATTTGATTCCAAGGACAAGGCCGCACATCACCTCCCACGCCTCCCACCTCCCTCAGGAAGGGGACTGAATGTTTGTGTCCCGCCCCCCAAATTCATATGTTGAAATCCTCACCTCCAATAGGATGAAACTAGGAGGTGGGGGCCTTTGGGAGGTGATTAGGTCATGAGGGCCCTGAGGAGAGACCACAAGAGCTCCTTGCTCCTCCTGTCACCTGACAACACATCAAGGAATGTAGTCTGTGAAGAGAGAGAGGGCTGTCCACAGATCCTGGCCATGCTGGCACCTGGATCTTGGACTTCCGGCCTCCAGAACTGTGGAAAAATAAATGGCTGTTGCTGAAGGCCCCAGCCTGTGGTGTTATGCTACAGCAGCCCGAAATAAGACGGGACCTAGTGTAGCAAGGAGTTGTTCATGAGATTGAGAAAATGTTATTTACCAAACCCCCCCTGCAGGAAAACAAACAAACAAACAAACAAAAACTTATTTGGGAAAGCCCCTGGGGGTGAAAGTGGGAGAAGCTGTTCCAAGAGAGGATTTATTGCTTCAGAAAGGGAGGAAGGCAGAAAGGAGACCAGAGGTGGCCAGGGAGCCAGAAAGAGCCAGAAGGATGGCAGAGGGCATGTGTCACCTGGAAAATCTCTAGTAAATGATGGAAAGTTGTGCAGTGCCCATCATGAGCAGATGTGCAAACAGGGATGGGAGGCTTGGCAGCCGGCAGCTGATTATCAGCCCAGGAGTGTGTGGCTGTCACAGGGTTGGCTCTCTTCCCCCTCAAGGCTGTGACACTGGGGTCCCAGTCAGGCTTATATCCAAGCCTGCCAGGGGCAGGGACCTGGGGTGACCCCGGGAGAGGGAAGGTTGCTTGGTGCCTGTGGGATCAGAGCAGCTCACGGGCTGAACATTGGGCTCCCCAAGAGTACCTTCCCCCTTTGGCCAGAGCTGGCCATGACCCTGAGCTACACTCAGCCTGGGCTCCTAAGGTCTTGGAGACAGCCAGACTGAGAATGAGGAAAGCTCAGGAGCTGGGTCAAAAGGTCAAGGCTGACTCCCTGCTCTAGCCCTGTCCTTGCTTTCCTATGGCTGGCGACACACTTCAGCTCTGCCTAGGAGGCAGCCACCTGTGCAAAATATCTGGCACTGGTGAGGGCTCAATAAATACATTTATTTCAAATTCGAATTGAAATTATTTTGAATTCGAATTGAATTAGAATTGTGGTGAGTTCCTCTTTTTAAAAAAGGAAGAAGTGGTGGCTAGTTGCTGTCAGTGTAGGCCACAGGTCAGTTTTGTACCATGGATTCCTCCTGCAGTCTGGAGAGGCTTGTGGGCTTTCCCCAGGATAGCAGTTTTATTATTTTTAAAATTTTTAATTTTTTACATTTATATTTATATAAATATAAATTGATATTAATATTTTATATTATTAATATTATTTTTATATTTTATTTTTTAAGGATTTATTTATTTATTTGAGAGACAGAGAGAGCACGGGAGCAGGGGGAGGAGCAGAGGAAGAGGGAGAGAGAGAATCTCGAGCAGACTCCCCACCCAGTGCCGAGCCCCGTGCAGGGCTTGGTCCCACAACCCTGAAATGGAGCCGAACTCAAGAGTCCAATACCCAACCAACTAAGCCATCCAGGGGCCCCCAGGCTAGAAGTTTTAAAGGCATAAAGTAAGATGTATAAGATCACTAAGGAAACCCAATATACTGAAATACAGTCACCAAAATTTTAAAAAATTGTGATATGGCCACAGGTGCGCTTCTGTTTTCGGGC